GAAGACAAATCCACGGGTTTTGCCTCTTTGTTGGTATGCACAGCAATAGTTTCAAAATACCCAACAGTGTTTCTGATATCAGGAACACTGTTGGGTATTTTGAAACTGCGCACAAAGATGTAGATCAAACCGGCTCATTGAATAAACATTCGGTTTCACAGTAAACGAATGCAAATCTCATTACTACAGTAGGGCGAGATTTAAAACCAAAAATCTGTCCGCGAGATAATCTCGCTTACTCATACGACATAAACTGACCAAAAAGTATTGGCGTTAACTTTGCACATAAGAAATTAAGTTATGTAAGTATCGAGGCAAACATTTCCAAATTTGCAGCAAAATGCAGCTCAGCCACAGCAGGGAAAATTCTCGTAAATGTATTATACACATCTTCATTGAGGCAGAGGGGCTAGGAAAATGCAATACAGACTTAGCGAATCCAGTTGAGGCATAGTGAACAACAAACAAGATAGAGGCTACCTAATCGAACAAATCCGACCAACTTATTGAATTGTCGTGGGCATTTTGGTTAAATTTTCAAATTAACCGCACGCATAAAACAGAATAGGCACTATCTACCTGTGAAAGGTTTGCCCGAACAAATACTTACAGGTTCCAAATTATCCGTTTATAGCTATACAGCAATAAAATGGCCAAAACCGATATATAATTGATATACTTCGTACGTCAGTCTTCACGCAACATCCACTGAACGTATATAGACATGCTATAAAAGTTAAACAGTACAAGGCCCGTGCCATAAGCGATATTGCGTACATTGTTATGCACCGACATTAAGAAAATAAAGAACAAAGGCGCATTACCTTACGAGCTTTTCATATGTTTGCTCTTTGCCTTTTGACTCAATCCATTTTCTATATGCGACCGAAGCGTCCACGTGCGCAGCGGAGTGAATATTCGGTTCATTTAAAAGTGAGATAACACTCAGAAGTATAGTCCTGAAAATGGGTAAGGGATAATGGAAATACCTAACGCTTTGAGTTGGATTCCAACGTTCTGACGGCAATTCGTCACTGAACGCGTCCTCTCCAGGGGAATGCAAGATAGATATGCACACCGTACCGTTCTCAAATACGTTCGGATGGAACATTTTACTGACGAATTTCATTGATGGAGGACTGTAGGGATAGTCGGGTGGAAAGGTAAGCCGGGCCTGAGTGTCTGCTGTTTTTCAAGGTACCTTACCTTAAAGTATCCGCCCTCATAAAGAGTTTGCGGAGGACCAAAAATAGCTACATCCCAGAGGAATAAATTCGACTCGTCTGCGAGTGTAACCTTGAAACCTTCTACTGGCGATTCTACAAGTTCTTTAAACTCTTTTTGTAGTGCTTTAATGGCCGAGGCCCGCGACAATCTTGAGGCCGCCATGAGCTACCTCTGATTGGCAGTCACAATTCGGCTACTGTTTGAAAATACCGCCCGTACAATTCAATCACAAACCTTTTAGTCAAGTGCCTGAAATTATGCGAGAAGAGTGTGATAGCGTTTGGACAGTTATGCAGCACACGTTAGAGATGAGGAGAAAACAAATAGAACTTTTCCAAAAAAATTCCTAAGTATTGAATTTTGCAAGCCAGCTATTGTATTTTCAGATAATTTATCAGTTTTCGTTCAGCTCGATGTTCCACAAGCAAGCTCCAAAAATTAAAATTTCAGCGAAGGGCCAAATCTTAAGTTAGGTTTA